GTCCACTGTTGTAGCATCAGTGTTTCTGTAGATATTTATTACATGGCAACTTTCTTTTTCAGTGAACACACCCTTGTTATATTTTCCATATGACGCATGTGACATAACCTATGACTAATGATAATGAAACGACGTTGCAAACTTCAGAATTATACTATGACGTCAAAAAGGAGACAATAGATCTAGAGTCGAGATGATGGAATTTTTCACTGAACGACCTTAATGTTTTTCTCAATATTCACAAAACATTCTTGATCATGCGGAGAGAAAAAAAGGATGTTAGATCATTTTTCCATTTCATGACTGTTGAAAATTGTCTTATTTTTGCCGGAGGCTCGTGTAAACAAAAATTCTTCGACTGGTTTTGTAGATCTCAAAAAATAATGGAGACTCCGATAAGATCCTGTTATATATTCACAATTGAAAAAAAAACACCTTTTAGATATCAAAATTGCATTTCTCTGAAAACAAGATAACACTTGAAAGCATTAAATATTACCTTTGTAATCTTTACATTTATTAACAGACAATTGAGTTTAAAATTTATAAATAATGGGGAGATAATCAGTGTTGTCCAATAGGTGAATATGTGATGGGTCAGTTGGTAGAATTAAAATATGATTGATTTATCTCAGGTAATGGAAAGATAGTTTTGCCAGTAAGAAAATGATTAAAGGATTTGGTCTGGAGTTGCAAAGTCTCTATAGAAAGATTATAAATGCTTTAGCACTAAGGCTTATGGTTGACTGTTTAAGTCTACATATTCACTGGTTCAACCGATTAATTAATATAGGTGGATAGCGCTCAGCCATTACTTCAACTCACAAACCTGTCAAGATCATTTTGAATTTCTTTTTTTAATGGATTCCAATTTAAAGTGTAATGGCTTTTGATAAAAGGTATGGTGACAGATTCCTGTCACGGTTTACCCTCCAACGAACATTGATGATATTTAATTGAGCCCTCTTTCTTTCGGATATTTATCTTTAGACTGTGATTCAAAGATGTGGATATTAGTTACACGGGACGTCACCAATCATGAAGATGTCAAAGCATGTGGGAATGGTAGTCCATCTGTTGAATATTTAGGTAGGATTCCTGATCGGGGTGGTAGGGTACTCTAGTCATTACCAATTAATTAATAAAACTACTGTACAGCTCGGCTTTTTTATCGTTGTTGATTTAATACTCATTCATTTCGATAAAGAAAAATTGTTTTCTGTTGTGGAATGAAAAATACATTACAAGATGTTAGTGATCAGACTGTATATGTCCCTGATTATGCCTTTTAATCAAGTTTGATCTCTGAGGTCGGTCTTGATCTGGGGTCATTTGAAAGTCTGGGTATTTGGCTGCAAATAAACCCTAGCATGTTCTGTAAATTGGACTGTCCCTTAACCCATGTAGGCGAAATAGTAGGATTATGACTTACACTTGTGAATGAAATCAAATTTTCCCCAGATTAGTCCTTAAATCTTTCTGTTAATGCAATAGGGTTAAGGAGGTGTAAAAGGATTGGATTTAAAGCAAGCATTGAAATTCTTGTAAACCTCTTTTCACTTTGTCAGCAAAAATGTATAGGCATGTTCAGTGGATGCCCTTTTGGTGGGTTTCCTTCAACCTAACAGAATATTTTAGCTTTACTTGGAAGATAATGGAAACGATGCCAGTGGGATATCGTTTTTTGTCTATAGAGTTGGATCGGTGGACAAAGGCGGATGGTAGTTTAAGCTATTAGAAAAATTGCAACAGACACGTCTGACTTTTCCCAAAGTCAGTTAGAGAGTTGCAACATTACACAGATGACGCACTTTAAGGTAGTGCGTCACTTTCCCAGGAATCTGGCCCGAGCCGATTCCTTAAGGAATGCAGTAGAAGAGCATGACCCATTAGGACTAGCTGAATTTAATTTCTTCCCATTGTTCTGGGGAGAAATGTCACTAAATATGTAGGTACCTGTCTGATGCTTTAGTCGGCATGTTACCATGTAATTAATTCTGGAGCTTCGCCCTCCCTGAAGATTACATATGACCACTCTGAATACTTTTCTTATAAGGGCTGGTTGGCAGTCACACTAACTGTTTGTGTTGTATGCGGGGTTCTGTGGCTATTTGCGACATACACCAGGTTCGGAGGGGAATCCCTAACTGAATAGGATCCGAGATGAGGGATCTGGGGGATAAGTTTGTATGAATGATGATGACGGAGGTGATTGGCAATGGATGTGGAGACTGGAATATGTGTACACTTGGTATAAACGCTGTGATCTGGTGCCTATTGATCTGTCCAGTCCCAGAGACACGTCAGTACATACACTCAGTCCACGTCCTTCCACGACACAGGAGGCTGTGCGTATATATCATATATATATACACGCAGGTCGAACCCCTTATTTTTTACTGAAGAGCTGTAGGGTTTTTACGATATGATAAATATCTTCAGACATGCTTTAACAGTAGGAATATTACTCTGAGATTAATATGCAACTATTAGTCAATAGAACTTGAATACCCTAGACATGGTAATATAATGGAAGTTTCTAGCTCAAACTTAGTGCTGGCCTGGTAGCTTCAGATTGCTGTGTGATTTGGCTCTCAAGTCTAGCTATCTTGACAAAAGTTGGCAGGCGGTCCACATTTACTTATGGAATGAGGGAGTGCTCCTCATTTTATCGAATTTAAATTCAAACAAAATTTAATATTTTTGTGTTAATGTAAACTAGATATTTAAAATCCATTTATAAAATTTAAATTTAAACAAAATTTAGTATTCTTGTATTAATGTAAGCTAGATACTTAGATTCCTTATTTTTTTCTCTCTCAAAATATATGTTATCAAGTATTAAAGTTTTAAATAAACCCATTATATTGTTAATTGATTCACTGATGAATTTTTATGCCCCAAAGCAAAAGATTTTTCTTAAGTGCACGATAAAGTTAAAAAGAAAATCTAGGATATTAGTATGTGTTTCGTGATATGTGTGCATGTCCCTGTGGGGTTTATAATTCTGGTGTTGTATGGTGGCATTTGTATGTAAGTGTGAGTGATAATGTCTATTATTTGTACAATGGCTACATGTCGACACGTGTCCCGCTATAGAAATCCACTCGTTCACATTAACATGCATGACAGAACGCCAAAGTAAAATCACTACTGCAATATGTTGCCCAATGAAATATGACTGTAACAACTTGTAGGGGATTACAAGCGCAGGACGGGTATCGATTTTCCAGGTGTATATGGGGACATATACAACTCAAACAATTGAAATAGATACTCTGGGCTATACATACTTCATATTGGATAATCCTATCTGTTTTTACTCTGATGCTCTATAGAAAAAATCAGTAAGGAAGTACGTAACAGCCTGCTATCAAATGAAGAAATAGTTAGGTGCCTCCCTAGGATGATCCCTGTCATTGTCATTTTCATGACACGGGACGCTTTCTTAGAAATAGATTTTTATTGCTTCAGCTTTTAGCAGTATGTCACATGTTGTCGGACAATGGTGTCCCAAGAATGAAATTGTTGGATATCAATACTTTTGGTTTAAAAAAATATTATTGTACTGTGCCAAGATATGAATAATTAATTTTTACTCTGTGTATTAAAGTTATAGATTTGGTTATAAACATTAAAAAAATGGTCTGTTTATAACTGCGTTTTAAATGAAGTAACAAACATATAATAAGCCATTTATAAAATTGTAAAGCACTTCGTTGTTATCCAGATTGGAAATGTAAGTTGTATCAAATCTGACACTGCAGGATGAAGGCATTCGATTGGGTTTAATTGAATTTTAAAATTGGCTTTATTAGATTGACAAGATCTGGCTTCTATGTCACTTGATTGTCTTTGAAGATGTTTTCTGTGCAGAGAAAGATGTTATGGTGTGTGTTCTCTCAAACTATTCTCCAGTTAATTGTGTGCAAAACAAAAATTATGAAAGAGAGGCGGGACAGAGATCTCTCCAAAATGGCTGGTATTCCATCTTCACAAATCTCGTAAATAAAAATAAAAACAACTTTCACCAGCTCTTGTGTTATTAATCAAATTGAGAATTGTAGTCTGCCGTTTGGGTATAGAATTAAAAATCATTAAATTAGAAGAGACATATCCGAGTGGATAACAAAACTGGAAAAAGCTCATTACCAGTGATAAATCAACATAAAAGCAGTGATGACCAAACAACAAGCGGGCCTATAGTTGGCTGAGAGCGGCTGACAAAGTGAATGCAGAATCTTGGAATGATAGATAAAAGTTGAAATTGATGTTGGGAGCAGTAACTGCACTGACGTGAAGATGGAAAGAGACATGGAAATTCAATTTGATAATGTAAATACTGATTGGCAACGGAACGGATGAAGTGGGTGACGCACAACCTGGCGCGACCGTGCCACAGACCTGGCCGACATGACATGTCTTTCTGTGTCACTCTGTGCGCGTTGTTTGATGACCTCCTTGACACCAGTCCAAGGTGTGCGTCTGGGGGAATCTCCGCTTCTCATTGGTTTACCTACACCTGATTTGTTCGGATACATTCCAATTTATTGGCTTAGGGGTATACCCTTGTCATCTAGATTGCTTGGCATTTTGGTCTAAGGGATGAATTGGTTGTCATTTCAATTGGTCTAGAATCGGTCTTTTGCCTTTATGTCTGGATTCTTTCATATATTTTCTGTAAACCTAATCAGTGGAAATTCCTATTGGGGCATTTTATCGAATATTCAAGCGTTATCCTGTCTCATCTGAAAATATCTAAAGATTGTTTTTTGTCGATTACCTTACCGTTAATTTTTCACTAACTTGGAAAATTAAAGAGTTATGATTCTACTTTCAAAAAAGTTCTGAACTTTCCATATACCATCAGTGAGCAATAATTCTAAAATAATAATAAAATTAAAGTACATGAAAAGAAAATGGATTCCCTGAAGGTTACTCTTTGTAAATTATCAATTGTGTTACGTGTTCTATATACTGTAAAATTTGTATAATTACAGGTCAAACTGGAGCAACCCCCACAGGAAATTTCACGTGTGATTCATGTCAGAGGCATTCCAGAAAATGCTACTGAAGCTGAGATCGTCCAACTTGGAATTCCCTTCGGCAAGGTTACAAATGTGCTGCGAGTCAAAAAGAGCCAGGTATGCCAATTTCAATTGAATGTCATGTAATTTTGTCAGATCCTCGCCAATATTGAGGTCTTGGCCTGCACGTTTCAATGAAAAATGGTCAATTACTGGCCATAGATGAGGTCTTTGTTGCATTTTGTCAGCATTGGGGGGTGGGTGAGAAATATAAATCAATACCCGTCATCAAGTGATTGTGTTTCTCAGATTACCATCTGGAGCCTGATGAGGTAATAAAATAGAAATTGCTCAAGATAAACCGACCATGGTTATTGATAGCCCTTTAATTGTTACAAAAGTGGCATAAACACTCTTTATATTATTTAATTTATTGGCATATTTACGGCTCGTCTTGCACGACCCTTACGTGTGAAGCTGTATAGTCACAGGAGACTCTTAGATGGAGAAGGTTTTACTGTATAGTTACTACATTAGCAGCACTCGTGTACGCGAAAATGCTCTAACCATCACGTGGCAGAGGAGTACCGTTTTATTTCTGACAAAATCTGTGATAAAATACTCAGATTAGTATTTATAAAGGTATTGTCCGTTCTATTGGGCTATTAAACGTCACAAATGGTGGGTTGTAAAAGAGATATACTTGTGCATAGAAGGTTAAACACGTTTTTCTCTGCAGGCCTTTCTGGAGATGGAAACTGAAGATAGTGCATGTGGAATGATAAAGTACCATTCCACCTCTAACACTGCATTGATCAGGGGCAAACACGTCTTTATACAGTTCTCCAAACACAAACAGTTGGTCGTGGACCAGATCAACTCACCACAGGTAAACAATCCGCTCCCAGGTATTGATGAAATCAAAGACCTGTACCTAAAATCGTATCCGTTATAGTTATGCAAAAGTCAAATTTTAGTTCCTGCTTTGAAGTTGTCAATTGTTACAGAAAACTATATATCTGGGGAAAAAAACAATAATATGGCACATTTATGTCATATAGCAGAACTTTAGGGTCTGGAAATTGTGACTGAAGTTAGAAATTAAACTGGATTTATTCCATTTATATTTCTCATTGGGTTTTGTATTGATGTGATTTTCACTGTTTCCAGAATGCAAGTGCTAAAGCAGCAATTTTGGCAGCAAGTGAAATGTCCAATGATATCCCCCAGTCCGACAGCACACGATCCATCCTCCGAGTCATCATAGAGAAGTTACTGTACGGAGTCGATGTCTCAACCCTGCATACAGTAAGTACCGGAGGGGTTCCTATTATGTGATGTGGGTAGCCACTCTAAACATAAGTTATTTTTAAAGATCTCTACTTATAGACTGATAAAGGGATTGGTCACTGGTATTATGACTGAGGCATAGCAGACCCTGGCTATTGTACGCTGCTACATTAAATCGGGCAGTAAAGTAAAAATTGGGAGAGGCGATCCATAAGGATGTGAACACGGACTTTAGCCTTTACCGATTCATTCCACTTTGTCATGTTACATAGGTATCCTATAGTAATTAACTGTATATTGATTTTTCATGCGATACAACAAGATTTGCAGTTAACTTGTTATAGCCGATGTTTATGACGGACATTAAATGGCATTTATGACCAGGAATAGGACAGTACAGAGCATTGCCCTTGGTTACAGATGCCTGCAAAAAGGACAGGTCTTCTACCGGATGTGTTTGCAGACCATTGGTAGTCGGGAGACACCTGATACAAATACATTGCTCGCTGAACTTCATTACTCTGTCATGTTCTTTAGTAGATTTTGATGATGTTGTGATTTCAGATATTCAGCAGATTTGGATTTGTGACAAAGATCATCACCTTTACAAAGAACAGTAAGTACCCTTGTGGTGAACTAAGATTACAGCCAGTCAACTTCCAATGGGGTTAGTAAGGATATAATCCTCCCTGGGTATATTGTACAAAGAACAGTAAGTACCCTTGTGGTGAACTAAGATTTCAGCCAGTCAACTTCCAATGGGGTTAGTAAGGATATAATCCTCCCTGTGTATATGGTAGTAGTGGTAATCGCTTTGTACTACCCGACCTTTAGGGGATTGTACAAAGAATTTTGAGAGGGGCAAGGGGAGATAAACATTTTTCACTGGAAGTAAATACTATCTTTAAAGTTTCAGAGAAAAAATATTACACTGTGCAGTTAGAGGTTTGATTAGAGCCATTTAAATCGGCCTGACAACACTTTTGCTCGACTGGTTTCGAAGTTATATATGTCTATATAAGGTATATCAAAATTCTGAAACTGAAACACAAATTTAATTGAGTACTTTCTGTTTTTTTCAGATACATTCCAGGCCTTAATCCAGTTTCAAGATTCAATTTCTGCTAAAACAGCAAAATATGTAAGTCTGCTTGAAGTGTACTTAAAATCATGCTCATTTTACCCAATACTAGCCAGTGTGATGCATATTATATTACACTGTCATATAGTAGTGGAAAATGTTCAACATCGTGCAACCAGATTAGTGCCATGTCTCAAAGACCAGAGCTGCCCCGAAAGTCTGCTTAAGTTAGGGCTTCCAACGCTAGAATACAGACGTATCAGAGCGGATGTGATCGAATTATTCAAAATTATGGAGGAAATTGACATTGTAGATCAGGAAAAAATGTTTATAAGAGCGCGCCCCGTTGGAACTCGAGGAAATAGCAGAAAGCTGTTCAAGAGGAGAACAACTAAGGCCATATATAGTAACTTCTTTAGCAATAGAGTTGTAGAGGTGTGGAACAGTCTTCCCGATAATGTGGTCAATTCTCAAACTGTGGACACTTTTAAGAACAGACTGAATAAATTCTGGTGGGATCACCCAACAAAATTCCATGCAAGTTGTTATTCCTGACATTAGTAGGTCTATCTTTACGCACCGGGAGTAAAAAGTGTTTTTAACATATATTCAAACGCGCCACAAGAAGCTCACAGCTTTCAATCGGCGTCATCGCTATATGAACTATATGAGCTAATACATACACGATAGGGTCTACCTTATGTGTCAATGTCTTCCCAAAATAATAGTTCAATACATACGATGTTGGTGTTTAAAGCTGTACTAGAGATGGGATGAACCTTTCTGGGTATCGACCAAAATGTGAAGTGCAAGTGTTTGTTGTACAATCAATAAATATTGAAGTGCTGACATTTGGTTTTTAGTTCACCTAGCACAAAGTGCCTGTGAGCTTATGGTATCATGCATCGTCTGTCGGTCAATTTTTTTCTTTGAGCTGCTTCTGTTTCAAAATTGAAATATTCAGGGTCCTGATATTTGGCCATTAGGTACCTGGGCTTGTTTTTTGAAGAATCTCTTTATATAAGTGAACCTGACTCACTTTGAAGGTCATAGGGGTCAAATATGTAAGAAACCTTAAAACAACATTATCATCAAAAGAAAGATTAAATTCTACAGCCATGATACTTGGATAGGTTATGTGGTCCAGTAGTGCAAATCTTTTATCGTGGTCCCTGGGTCAAAACATTGACCTTATTAAGATCCTCATCATGTATCAATATAAACACAAGTATGCACCCAGGATTAGCTCTAAGATCTCCTGCCCAAAGAGACTTATTCCCAGGTTATTTCATGGAAAAAGTTAGATACGAGCCTGATAATCGTATGCATATTCATATGGACCTCAACCAGGTTTATTGCGAAGCACACTTGGAAACAGACAGAGTCTAGTATGAGGAACTATTTCCAATACATCTTCTAATGACGAGACAGAGTGAGTCTAAATTTTGGTTTTTCTTTACAGTCACTAGATGGCCAGAACATCTACAATGGGTGCTGCACACTGAAGATTGACTTCTCCAATCTCTCAAACCTGAACGTAAAATACAACAATGACAAGTCCTATGATTTCACAAAGGTGAACCAGCTATGTGCTGGAGATGCCACAGTCCAGCGACACACCCCAGGGATGCTGGGAGGGGTCGGAGGAATGGGAGGAATGGGAGGAATGGGCGGAATGAGCGGAATGAGCGGAATGGGAGGAATGGGAGGTGTTGGTGGCATTGGAGGAATGCAAGGTAAAAAGCTGTTGTCCTGCTTCAGAGTAACTGGGCGGAGCCTTAAACTTGACTGTTATGTTTCAGCTCTTTGTGAAATGCATGAAGTTGTTTTATTTCGCATTCTTTCTTTGTTATCCTTCATTCTTACAAAAAGAAAATAATCTTTTCTTTATTCTGTTTTCTTCAGATTTCATTTTTCAGATAGGATGCCTGGCTACATTCAGCTAACTCTCTTCAAGTATATGATTTAGATTTTGACAAAACAATTAACAGGAAATATGGTATTCTCAATTAGAAAAGGAAGGAAATTGAAGTTGTCAAAAATAATGTAGAAACACAAATAAGATGTGCATTTATAATTAACTTATTTCTTGGAAATAAAAAAAATATATGCATATATAGCTTTTAAAATGAAAATAGATAAATATAAAGTTAAGATTTCAAATAAAGTTTATATAGTTTTTAAAATAAATAACTTTTCAACACTTTTGCAGTAATAATATCAGAAAGAAATTCTTTTGAATTGTAAAAAAAAAAAAAAATGTGTCTTAAACAGCTTGTTTTGGAACAAAAACTTGACCGTGATATCTGCTAGTGTGTATGTGTCGTGTAATATAGCTTACTTCTGTTGTTTCTGCCAGCTCCATCTTCACTCTATCCTCTGTCTCTTCTCATGACTCCATACTGTTGATTTTGTCAAAAATTTACTCATAATTGTCATATGTATTTTATATTTTTCTTAGAGTCCCTTCGAGTGATGGGGGGTATGGGAGGTATGGGAGGATTAGGAGGGATGGGAGGTAAATATAGCCAAGATTTCCAAACAAAATCATCTTGGATCTTTTTTTAACATATTGTATCTTTCATTTTCATTTGTGTATGAAAATATGTTTTAAAAAACCATGACATATCTGTCTTTGTAATATGTCTTGGAATCAGATCTCTTATCTCTATATGAACCTTCAGTTACAAAGTTTCATTATGAAGGTCTCGTTTTCTCTCGATACTTTTCTCTCCTTCTGCGACAATCTGTTGTTTCTTCACGTTTATATATTTTATTTTATTTTCATTATATTTGGCTTCTTTTCATTAATGTTTTTAAATTCATTAACTTTTTCTTTTCTTTTCTGCTTTTTTGTTTTGTTTTGTTTTTAATGAAAAAAATGAGACTTCATTTTTATGGTACTCTTTCCGATTCTGTCTGTCTATTGTTTGTAGAAATCCTTGTATCGTCATCAGGGGTCATAATCGAGATTTCACACTTCACTGAAATTCTATTTTGTTGTGCAAAACAGATGAAAATTTGTTTGCCCATTTCTTTATGTATAAACTGTAACCTTGTTATTCTTGAATTTGATCTTTCGTATACATTAGAACTCTGTTATCCATACCCTTTGTACAAATATTTTCCATATCAATTAAACATAACTTGTCACTTAAAAATGCTCCAGTTTCTGTACTTAATTGTTTTCTGTACACTCATCGGATAGTGTATAACTGAGGTTTTACAGTAATGTTGATTTTTTAAAAACGTCTTATCATGATTGATAACATCAGAATATACATGCTTTAGAACTAGGAGAATTCACTAGACTGTTCATTTTATGTTATAAATTAAAAAAACGTTTTTAAGTCTTTGTCTGAAAATTTCAAGTTGATAATATAAGTTTAGGACTTTGGTCCCTATATCGTCTGCCAGTCTCGCTGACTGTCTATAAGGATGATTGACCACTGGTCAGCTCTCAGGTGCTGTCCACTTCTGTACAGTTTTGTTTTATCCAGCCTAACACACAGGGAACCAGAACATGTACTATTCAATCTCTCCGATACTGCTACTTGTTTGTAATGTTATCTATTACCACATAATTGTAAAGTTTTCAAAGTTCAATTTGGAAAGATCTTCTACTTTTGTATGTGTTTTCTGACATGAAATGTATTTCATTTTGAAAATTTGGTATTGTCTACTCAAACCCTTGTATCAGTTCTTATTATGGTAATAAAACAAAGTTTTGTCTTCACATAGATGAATTTTAATTTTTCCAAAAAGGTTTCACCATATTAGATGTATAGTTATACAGAGTGATTTGAGTTAACGTGTTGTGGTTCCCATACGTGTATGTACGGTCACCTATATAGCTAGGCCTCACACACAGCTTTTCAGCCTAATGCCCCAGTCGTTGTATGTCAGTGTCCCCTTATAAATCCCTGCCACATGTATGTTAGCATTGTATTTTCTCAACAGTCTTGCCTTGTGTACTAGTCCGTCATTGATGTTAAATTTTATTCCACTGATAATATACATTCTATGGACAAAAATATTTCACTTTTCTACATGTGTTTTCTCTTCAGACACTTTTATTGCATAAGGAGCAAGTGAAAAAAAAATATACCAACGGACATCCCAAATTGATTTGCATGTTTTCCAGATTAGAGCTGTATTTTTTCATAATTTTAGATTTAAATTTCTTTAACCCTGTTTTAAAGTTTGCTTTTCTTAACCAACCAGGCATTTAGTATAGGGTTTAGAATATACAGAGCCGTTCAGTGTGTGCATACAATGCTTTACCATACTTGTGGTTGGTTTTTGCTACTCACCATGAACTGCTTACATTGTATTTACCATTATACCATGCTATTTACATACTGTTTTCATAACTCGGACCCTGATACCTATTATAACCTGCTCACAGGTTTTAGACATATATTTATATATATATAATCATTTTGGAGTTTTGTTTTCCTTAATTGCCTATTAAATTTTGTCCTATTTTACATTGGCCATATTTATAAAGATTTGCAATAATATTGTGATGCTACATGGAATTCAATGCGGTTGGATCAAGTCATATCTTTGGATCTTGCTAACAATTTATGGGATACATAAATACATTAGAAATAAAAACAATATTGATGAATAAATTTTGTGGAGGAAAAAGGTAAAAAAAAAAAAAAAAAAAAATCGGGGGTGGAAAAATGTTTATTGATTTATTGATTAAATAGAAAAAATGTCAATGACGAATATGTTTGGAGTTTAGTATGAAATCACATTCTGATGTTAAATAGTATGAATTATGTTTTGATGTTAAATTGACAATATTGTAGCATAGTTGACCACCTCCCTGTAGCATCACCCGCACCATATCACATTTGACCGGTGTACATGTATATATATTAGCTGGACATTAATCGCATGAACCTTATTTACCGATGTGTCACATGAAGGTGCCCAGGATCTTATGACGCAGGCGTTGATGCCGGGGATGGGAAGCGCTCCACTAACAGCCTACGGGGCCGGTGCGGCGGCGGCTATGGGAGGCACGCCTGTATATGGTACAGATACCCCACACACTGCTATCTACCGTAATTACCCTGGTAGTTACACCTGTTATATGTAGTACTGTTAGTCCTCCTCTAGTGGCATCATCTCATTAATTCTAATGCGGTTTACTCACACCTTCAACTGTAATCCTTTATTGACACTGGTTCTTTTCTTGTGAGTGACAATGACGATATCAAACCTTCTCCTATCATTCCAATGTGACAAGTCGGGGAGGGGAAGGAAACTTCAGGGGATGGATGTCGGAATTATAGAATGGGGAAAACAAGATTTGGAAAGATTCACTTGTCAGATGTATTTTGGCAAGCAAAGTTCAGGGGAATTAAGAACTTGCATATAACTACATACAATTGTTGTCTCCGGAGTGTTCACTAAAGGATTACTGTTAAATAAATGCATGTGTTTCATTTGCCGTATACTCCTGCTTTGCTGGAATTTACACTGTCTTTCAGAGCACAAGAAAATCCATCTTTCGGCTGGTTCTTGATTTGTTATTGGTTTCTATGTAATTATTAAATCAGCTAAATTTGTTGCATGAATATTCCAAATGAGGATAATTAAGATGACATATTAAAAAGATACTGCTGCTGTTCTAAAAAAGATGCTGCAGACTTCTGAAAAAAGCATGACCTAAAGATCTAAAATTTCTAACAGTCCCATAACTTCACAATACTCTTTCTTTCCAAATTTCTTTCCTTCACAAATGTGTTCTTTTTTAAAGAGCCTGTTTCTTCTAGACATTGGAAAATGTGTTCTCACAAGTCGAGACAGAAAAAATGTCAGGTTATTTGACGACAAAAATTACAAATATATGTTCTCTGCTAGCTAGCAAAAGCCATAAATGAGAAGTTTAGGTTCTACGGATAGTGATATATCTATTCCTGGATGAATAATTTATAAGATTCCATTACAAAAAAGTGTTGATGGACCTCGCCTGGAAGGCAGACTAAACATATATCCCGCATGCTTTCTAAACCTGGTTTGCATGTTCTTGAGCGGTATAACATTGAGAGTAACCCAACATGTGGTATCACTGTCACAGCGTTAAGGGTTGTTAAGCTGCTTGCTTTACCTTTTGTATATTGCCTTCAGTAGACAGTAGCTTAGAAATGTCAGCTCTGAAGAATGTCAACCAAATATGCATAGCAATTACATCGAGCTTTGGGCTACAGACCCTGTACAAAATGTCGAAACGTAGAAATATATATTTTATCTGTCACCAAAACTTGTGGTCTGTAATCAAATCAGTTTGTATGGGAAAAAAAGTAGAGAATTTGGAACTTATGGTTAAAAAACCTGCTTGATTTGGTGAAGGTGATGTCTAAATAGAAAAACAATCAGAAGTAATCAAGGGTTTTTATACCTGTGTAACTCTTTGTATATTGTGACATTCCATGGTTGACGTAAGAGTGGTTGCATGCTTATTGACCTGCGTTAATACAAAACTGGACAGCCCCAGTGGACACAGGTAATGTACCTATACAGATCTATTACCAATAGTTGTATCTAGCTTGTTATCTTGTGTTTTGTGTAACTGCATCTGTCTTTTTCAGTTTCTCTCATTTGTGTTTTCTCTGTCTTTTTTTAGCTTCAAACTTTGGCCCAGGTGTGCAAGGTAAGTTGCCTATTCTCTTCTACCATTTCTACAGCCTTTCGTTTTCATTTCTGTAAAATGGCCATTTCCTTGTAAGTGCACGTGTGGAAATATCTTAATTATTTAAATTTTGAATACTTTAATAGCTATCTGTTATAAAAAAGATTTTTGTTTAATTGCTTTTCTTTTGGGTACTGACTTTATTAATTAATTCTTTCATATCATAGTTTTGAATTCAAGCATGCATTCTAAAATGTAAAATTTTGGTTCTGAATTTAAATTTTGGATTATTTCTTCAAAGTATTTGGTGTTTGTTGCACTTGAATGGTGACTGGTCCATTTTATGATATATATACATATATATATATTAGTTGCTTATAAAGACGTTGGTTGACAGTTTTTTTCTGCTGAATTTTTCACTTTACTATAGTGGTACCTATCAATGCTATTGTATTACATGTACTCTATTTGTCTCATTACAAGTAGCCCATCCCTTTTAATCCCCTGTAACTCATTCATCCCTGAAATTTCATAATGAAATATTCCAACGTTTGAATTAGAAGAGTTCAAAAGCGTCTTCAGGGGTGATTGAGTTAAAACAGATTTTGACAAATGAGCATCCTACAAGTAAATTTACCTGCGTAACGTTGAAACTCAAAAATAAACTTTGTAATCGTTTTTATAGCATTTTAGATACTCGTTTCCCAAATTGCCAATACCATAAAAAGCCATTACAGAAGACGTGAAATCATACCCGACTTGAATATCTCTCGTTTCTCGTTCAGTGTTTTCCGAGCAATTTTAAATTTATAAACGACCTTGTCATTTTTAATCTTGCTTACCAGATCATAAAAGCAAAAAGATTCAATTCCCAGAAACTAATACAAATAACCTTGGCGGCAGGAAGTGTGTAGTGGGATTTGTAATGTCACTTCTAGTTGATTCTGTACAACATTTAGTGTAGGTACGGCCACAGGAGACACCAGATCTGTAATACCATAAACAAAAAATGGGTGTCCCGTTTATTGGTGTGTATAGCCAGCATTCCACAAACATTGCTACAGAAATAACGTTAAGTTTCCTCCAGAGAACAGTCAAGTGTGCCATAGATTTAAATTCGCTTTTAAAAAAACATTTTGCACAAGAAAAAAGTGCAGTATGTTATTGTCAGTACAGCTGCTACATATCCAAATCTGACTCTCACGATTATTGTTAATGGAAAGGGTATGTAGCCAGACAATGAATTAGATTTCTTCAATCCGAACTTGATGGACTTAATGAACCAGAATGATGCCATAAATATTGATAATCTAATCCCCTGATGTTTAAAAAAAACACACACACACAAATTGAAACTGTTCAGTGGTTGATTTGCACACCAAGCTTTTATTTAGTTAGCTGATACATATGTGAATCTCTAATTAGTTAAATGTTGCCGTTAAAAATGACGTTTTTTTCAAAAAACTTCTTTTTGTTTAATAACAATTCCAAATAAAGTTTTGCAGGTCTCCAAATGTACATTTTGTAAAAAAAAATATGAAGCAAAAATGTCCAAGGTAAAGTTTTAACTTACCACTACCGCCCAGAACCTGATACACCTTCACAGCACATCATTCTGTTTTCTCCGATTTATATGAATGCCATTCTGATAACTAGTTCTTCTCTTATATTTATTTCACAGTGATAACCCTATATTGAAATATGAGTTCATAAAGTCAGTCTTTAGCTCTACCGCTTGGTTTCTCTATGGAGAAGGGAAATACCCAATCACTCTTATGAAGTAAAGCAAATAAAAATAACTCCAATTGGATCATTTCAATCTATTATATTTGAAAAAAGGAAACGGGAACTGAATTTTGAAAAAAAATCACAATTTTCAAAGTAAATTTCTTGAAGAAGGGCACTTGCCCTGTACTCAATCATCATCCTATAATTCAATTTTCTCAATTTACTTGAAAATGATCAAGTATTGAGGTTCTAACTGATCCTTAATTCCAGTATTATGTGTGATCATGACAAATGTCTTCAGAAATTATGCCATATCGACTTTGAAGTCAAGACGTTACGGTTTCCTGTTGTTTCAGCTCAAATGCCCCAGCTGGGTAACTACAGCTTTGCTAACCCAGCCCTGACCGGGATGGCTATGGGAGGACTGCCTTGTGGAAACAGTGTGCTGTTGGTGTCTAATTTGAATGAGCAGGTAGGCACTCAATCCCTAACTTGGGTAGCATGACTTAGCCCTCTAACATGTAGACTATTCCTCCTCAGATTCACGGTCATAGTTAGTCTTGAGAAAATTTCCATATTCAAGCTCATTTTATGAATAAATCAGCTTGATCTATTAATTTGGTTTAAAAGTATATTTTTTCTGACCTGTTTCAAAACTGTTTCAATCTATCATTGCTATTATGATGGCAGTGAAAAAAGTTACGAGGGAAAAATTATTTATTTTAATCAAAAACATTTAAAACTATTCAAATAATGAAAACTAACTATTCAAATAATGAAAACTACTGCTAATTTCCTTGGGTTGAGGTGGAGGAGTCTACTGCTATACTGAAGACCGATATCTATCCCCAAGTACTATCATGGATGATTTTTACATCCATCCGCACTGAAATATTATGTATACCAGGAATATAATTTGTTTAGCTAAAAGTGTACTTCTGATGGACTATTTCTGCGCTATCAGTCTGCGGTTAAACTTTTGTTTCATATACTACTGGCCCTTAACCTGAGATCTGTTTCAGCAAATCTACTGCGTTCTCATGTGTCTCAATTATATTTTTTCTTTACTGGTTCGGTTTCTTTTACATGTGCCATGCATTTTGATGGGTAATTTTATTCAAAACCTTTAAAAGAGTTATATATCAAATTACATATTTGGTTGTAGAATCACTTCCCTTGTTTTGTCCAATTTTACTTTAACTACCTGGTACAGATAAAAAAAGAAGTTACAAAAAATATTTTACTTTATTACNGGGGTTGAACAATTTGAAGTTGGAAGGCTATATAGTATAATAATATCTTGTGGATTTGTGATGGTCACGCTATCCATTAAAGATGACTCAACATTTCTGACACCTTATTCACATAACAATAAAAAAAAATCACGTAAAGGCACCGTCACATGTTTTATCAAATAATGGCCAACTGTACATGCTATCAATGATTTACAAAGTATTCCTTCACCTAAACAGACAGGTTTTTATCATACATACTGTGTAATGGGCGTGGCAAAAATTATGTTTCTGCAAATTACGTAGGCATGATAGGGATGTTAACAGCTTAAAGTGAACAGCTGATTCTGAAGGCCAAGTTAACATGTCTGGCAAAATCAGGAGAGATATTATTTGAAATGAGCTGGGGAGGAAAGTCAGTTGTTTTGGACGAAGTAGAATCTCCAGTAACACAGAATGGAACTTTGTTGGATCACTGATGGCATGTCCACTTGTAAGATTTTATATGCTTTTTTTATTGCTGCAACTTCATAGAGCTGCAGATTGCTTTACAAACCACAATAAAACTGTATTATCTACTCCAGTTGGAAGGCTCAGCCACTCGTTGAATGAGTAATTCTAAATTGTCCCAGTTTAACCGAATTATTTGGAAATAAAATTTATTTGTAATGGCATTCAAATATATTTGTAATGACATTAAAATATACAAGATTATTTTGAACAAAATTTATTTCTAAATATGATATTTTGTGATTAAAGGGACATAACTCTATATGACAATGGCTGCACCTTCAAACTGGTAAAATGTGGGTGGGAACTTTGTAGATGGTTGTGAGGACTTTAGTAAAAATGCATGACTGGTATTTTTTCGCATGTCAGGGGAGATAACTACATATATGCCGATGTTTATGATTACCTAGACAAACTAATTGACTCGGCCAACTTTGCATTGTATACTACTTAGCACTGATCATTGCTGTCTGAACTGTAGATATTACTTATACTGGTGCTGTATCATTCTATATTTTAGAAATTTCATCAATATTTATTAATCACTGTTGCTTACATAATTATAATATTTATTCAAGCGTAAGAGGGTACTGATTTTCTCGTGTCCGTGGATGCCAAACCTGTGCGCTTCAGTCGATGTTATAACTGACTGACAACAACACCACTATAACTGATTGTTTTCCCTTGTTTTTTCTTTTCCCGTTCGTTCGTTCCCACTTATGCTGGTGTTCATCCTCCATGTGGACTATTTTCTTCGCTCGTTCGGACACTGATCTCATCCATCCATCCTTTTTCCGCCTTTGTCTGCTATTTCCTGTTGCTCTGACAAACTCTAGATGGCCACGCCAGATGCTCTCTTTACCCTTTTTGGTATGTTTGAAAAGCACTCTTTATTATTATTATTTCATTTATTTCTGGTAGTAATTTGTAATAGAAACTATCTAGAAGAAAACAATCTAGGCATTTTCAATAAAAAGCAATTTTCGTTGCACATTTCTGGAACAAAAAATTCACATATTTTTCCCTCTTTTGTCAATAATTTTAACAACATTTTTTTTACTCATTCTAATTTGCACATGAATTTGAAAATAACAATTTTACAAAGCTCTGAAAATAAATATAATCAGAAGAAAATAATTAATTCCCAACTGTAAAATCCGCTTGTTCTCCCATCAGTTAATGATATGTGTATGTAAAATGAAAAAAGACATTTTGAAGTACATGACTAAGTTAGACTCTACTGGCCATTCCAGGGGTATATGGGGACGTACATAGGGTGAAGATACTATATAACAAAAAGGATAACGCTCTGATTCAAATGGCCGAACCGTTCCAAGCTCAACAAGGTAAGTACACACCCAGATTTGTTTCACCTCCTCTATCTGCAAAGAGTAAGAAAAAAATTGTGTAGTCTCTATTATGCCATCTTTCATTGTATGTAAAATAACAGTAAAACCTGTTTTGATGTTATCATCAAAGGAGTAACAGTAATATCTACTGAAAAAAATCTTCGGAAAGAAATACACGTATGTGGCCACAGACAGTTGAAATGAGATATTCTAAAATATTTGACAAAGTGTATGAACTTGAGGCCAGGAATATGTGAACATTGTATTTTGATATCTTAATTATAAACAATTAATCAATACCTTTTTAAAAGAAATATGCGGTATAAGGATTGTCATTACATCGGTAGGTAATCAAGTTTGTGGCCGGTAGGATTTTATGTCTTAATACAGAATACACTGATGTAGTTGTACCGAGTAACTCTCCTCTGATCAAACGTACGTAATTAGTGTGTATTGAATACACAGACAACAAACCTGTTACTTGAAGTGTAAATTTGGTCGGTGTCAAACTTTTATGTACTAGGTTATCACTCAGTGTTCGTTAGTGAAGATCAATAGAACAGGAGACAGCACTTGTTCATTGATTATCAGTTTGTCTCCTACATGGACATCAATTAGTATTTACGTGTTTGTTCTTGTTTGCTAGCACTGCAATATCTAGACAAATTCAAAGTGTGGGGCAAACAGATCCGGGTGGCCGCCTCCAAACACAGTGTGGTACAGATGCCGAGGGAGGGACAACCGGTAAGTAAATTGCCTCATTCACCCCTGAAAATTCATAATAGACTATTCCAACCTTTGAATTGGAAGAGTTCAAATGTGTCTTCAGGGGTGAATGAGTTAAAGTTCATGCAAGTATTGAATCCTGATTTGACCTTTATTGATATTGAAGCACAGAACAGTGTTTGCTTTTGAAATCATCCTAATAAGCCAATATTTATGTGCTGTAAATCTAACTGTACTCCTACAGATGATCCTACTTGTAATGGGAAATTTCGGAGCACACTTCTCGAATCGATCAAATGTTCAAACCAATTATTTTTGTATTGTTGTTTTAGGATCATTTTAATCCCAGGATGTGCCACTTGTTGGTTCTAATTGTTTGGAAAATGTAATAGATTAGAACTTTACCATATAATCATTGTATGATTAAGCTAATGACTTGATATAACGGGTTGCTGAGCCTGTGTATGTCAGTAGTTGAAAATACTTGACTCTTCAATTACACTAATCACCGATACAAACCCAGGGGAAATATTTATAACTGGTGTCTTATATTAACATACCTGATCAAACAAATTTTACAATTTTAAGCACTATTACTTCTCAGAGGTCAAGGTTAAGTCTCCATTGTTAGGAAATATGTCGGTGGGTTAAACAAGGTACATGTTGTACTGATTTATTAACCAATTTGTCGTGAAAGATTGAATAGCTTAACAAGATCTATAACTTTCCTTTTTTGTAAACAGTTCATTTATCTGGACCTGAATGTAATAATACACATACCAGTGGCTTAAGCCATGTCAACACTTGTGTGATTGTCAAAATGACCCAAATTAAAGATCTAGTAAGACTGTTAGTTGTAAAACACAAGCTACTGAAATAAAAAAAAAAAAAATGAAATGTCCATCCAACAGATGGATTTGTTATAGACAATTATTGGAAATATTTTCATTATATTACAGGATGCTGGCTTGACAAAAGACTTTACCAATTCTCCACTGCATAGATTCAAACGACCAGGATCCAAAAACTGTTTGAACATCTTTCCACCATCTGCTGTGCTCCATCTCTCTAACATTCCGTACGTATGAAGGCTGAGGACTGTTTTGGATATTTTAAATTATTACAGAAAACATTATCAAAAAAGCAACTTTTTTTCTGACATGATTTTTTATCAATCAGTGATTTTCACGGCTAGCGTTTAAATCTTTATTAATGCAATACTTAAGCAGCGTGTTATAAAGGTTAATCGAAATCTGATACAAGTTAAATGAAAATAGGTTTACTTCAGATGCCCATGTCATAATTTTACAGTGTAATTTGTTGTTGAAGTACATGACTCTATATATTTGCTCTGAATTATGAAGTAGGAGATAGCGTTGTTATGTGAGGATCAATTATCTTTCACAGACCCAATGTCACAGAAGACGAGATCACGGACCGTTTCAAGGAGCAGGGTACAGTAGCAGCATTCAAATTTTTCCCGTAAGTATAGTGTTGCATGATTCCTGAACCATGTTAAACTATTTCTAAAATGTCATTAAAAAGCTTGATTAAGAAGCAAGTAGCAATTCCGTCTTTTTCGTTTTGCAGAGTTATCTGCTCTTGTGAGCAGGTATCGATTGTTACGTCATTTGTTTCTGAGAATAGGTTAACATCATACATTTTTGAGAAAATGACGTATTTTTCTCACAAACTAATGATGTAACCATCAATACCTGTTCACAAGAGCAGATAACTCTGCAATACGGAATTGGAGAATTGGTGAGACTATTCAAATAGCCGCAGTTGTGTAATCAGAAAGCATGATATGTAGGATATACAGTATCTCAAAGATATTCATGAGTCTAAGTCTTGATGTTTGGAATTATTCTGATGGTCCTGCAAAGTTTGAAACATCAAAGTTTGACTGTATGTTTTATTTTTTTCAATCCTTGTTGCGATTCCAGTTTCTTAAAATTATAACTTTATGTATATTCTTCCAACTACAGGAAAGATAGAAAAATGGCTCTCATCCAAATGAGCTCTGTTGAGGAAGCAATTGAGGCACTCATAGTAAGTATAATTATCAAGTGCTACAAAAACCTTTTAACAAAATCAAGAATATCGATTTTCATATTCTATGTTAATATCAGATTTTTAGGTCACCTGAGCTTTACCTCAAGTGACCTATTGCTATCCTTGGTCGTCCGTTAACATTTAACATTAACAGAAATCCAATATAGCCGACACGGCCGCCATTTTTGTAAAACTATTTCAAACTTAAAGTCCAGTTCTGCTGGGCCGATTGAACTGAAACCTGGTAGGAATGATCGACTCATGGTCCTGACAAAGTGTTGTTATTTTTCGGGTCGATCAGAAATCCAATATGGCCGACACGGCCGCCATTTTGAAAAACTATTTCAAACTTAAAGTAAAGTTCTACTGGGCCGATTGAACTGAAATTTTGAAGGAATGTTCGACTCATGGTCCTGACAAAGTGTTGTTATATTTTGGGTCGATCAGAAATTCAATATGGCCACCACGGCCGCCATTTTGAAAAAAACTATTTCAAGCTTAAAAACAGGTTCTAATATAATAACGTAAGGCCGATTTAACTGAAACTTGGTCTAGGAATGATCAGCTCATGGTCCTGACAAACTTAAGTTAACGTTATACTTAACATTTTTTTACTCAAATTGGTACATACAACAACAAAAATAAATACTGTAGGACTCAGGTGACCGTTAAGGCCCATGGGCCTCTTGTAAAACCTCACTTCAGTGGGAAAATCTTTTGAAACTGATAATTATTGTGTATTAATACTATTTCATTCGAATGATTTTTAGAAAAACTAATTTTCTTATTTTATTTTCTTATTTTATTTTTCAGAGCTTGCACAATGTCCAGCTAAGTGAAAACAACCATCTGCGAGTGTCCTTCTCCAAGTCTACAATCTAAAATGCCCAGAGCTTGTGAACCAGATGTTAAATATTAAAATAACTTTTTTTTCTGATTTATACATGACATTATAAGAAATAATATTTATGTCAAGCTGTCCCTGTTTAGAGTTATCTCCCATTGGAAAGTGTATCGGTAAAAAGTGCCTTTTTGTGTATTTTCAATATTTACAGAGTCATGAGAATCCTGGTTATTTTACACAGCGTGTTCAGGGCCATCATTCTGTATGTGCAATTATTTGGACTTTTTTTATGTTTAGGAACTTAAGTTTGTTAGAAATTTATTAGAAATTTCCATGATTTAAACATGTCTACTTGAGGTAAACAGAAATAGTCTTTGCCCTCCTTTGATTAGTTACTTAGCTCTGTAAAATGGCATACAACATTTTCTTCGGTCTGTGGGATCATTAATGAAATAAGATATACATGCCGAAAGTGACATATCATGTGGAAGGTATTTTTTGTTGGTTATATTTTGAACTGTTCACCCCCACTTTACACATGATATGGGCCTTTGGAGTTTGATTTGTATATTTTGGATCTGCCATTGTAGTCAAATGAGCAAGATTGCATTTCCTGTTTTTTGAAGAATTCCTACTTATCGTCCTTATCCCTGCCTTTATATGTCAAGCTAGCGACACTAGATGGCAGCACTGGGATGACGAGACTGACCAACACAGATAACATACTGCACATGCATCGCCCATGTTGCCATGGAAACTTGATAACTGCTGCTGCTGCAAATGGTGGGCGTAATGGGTGGATCAGTGTTTGGGATAGACATATTGTTTATTGTTAATGACTTTGATAATCAAATAAATTGGTTTATTTTTTATTTTAGAATATTTTTTATCACGATGAATGTTTCATTTGTTGCGTGTATTTACAGTTGAGTCTGGAACACCAAGTTTAAGTCGGAACTTCAGTTCCACTTTAACAGTTTGATGTTATTTTTGCACTTATCCTTCATTACCCATTTTATTGGTAGCCACTGGATTCCTGGCCAAGGAGTGCTAATTGTATGTTTGTTTGAAGGATAGCCTTTTGTGTTTTCTAAATATTATTGTTAGAAATCATTTGTCCCAGACATTTATATATAGTTGATATACTCCTAAGAAATCCATTATTGACAATTGAATCCTATATTTATATGTGTGGTTCTCTTGTGTTGAAAGCTCCTTGGCCAAGAATTGATGGTGTACTGCATCATTTTTTCCTTTTTTTATTTTTTTTATTTTTTTTTGACACATGCAAAATTTCTGCCCAATGCTTTGCGAAAGAAAACTCTGAACAGAGACGTCAATTATTTTCCTAGCTTTTATATTGCTTGGTTCTGGTAAAGAAAAAGTTCAAAATTAGATTGTTTAGCTAGTAGATTTGATTGAGATGATAATTTCTGAGACTTACATGTAACCCTATTTTTGCATTGGGTATCATAATGATAAATACATTTAAAGGTTTAAATATATATTTTTGCATTTTTGAGAGTTGTTCTACAGTCTGGGGATTTTCATTTTACATGTTTGTAAAGAGAGAAGTGTATTAAGCCAACATTTAATGGTGTTATGTTGGTTTAATTTTTTATTTTTTTTCAGTCAGTGAATTTTTCATTATTATTACAACAATTTTTTTCATTCATCATGTCATTGTGTTGGGAGTAACAATCTTAAGTTTCCTAGGCACTGTTTATAGTTCAATATCAGCATACATTTTGTTAATACAAAAACCATTCCAGTGTGGATTACTTTGTTATCTTGACATCGGTAGTTAATTTGTCCCAGCTATTGGTCATGGCTATGCAGATGATTTTTTTTTTTTTTTTCATAAATCATAATCCGTCTATTTGTTTTGTGTGTTAAGCTTTAATATTGAACCATAATTCCAAAGATTGAAAAAAAAATCTTGTGGTAAACTCCCAGTCCAATATCAAAAAGGAAAACAGGAATAACAGAGAAATGGCATTGTACAGCTGACAAAATCAAATTTGTCACAATGGTGGCTTGACACAAAAATTGATTTATGGTTTTTAAATACAATTGATGTACATAGGAAACAAAAATGCAAGAGATCAAATGTGAATAATTTTAAATGCAAATGTTCTAAACAATGCAAGATTTTTCTCCTTAACGTTTCTGACTTGTAGACAGTTATGCTGAATCAGGAAACTGTACCCATTACAACACAACTTGATATTACATAGTCGTAAGCGATAGTTCATGACAGCATCATCAGTATAGGTGTTGAAACAAAAATGCCGGCTATTTAGGGCTACTCCATATTTAAATATCCGGAATAGTCCTTAATGTATTGGGGCAATAATTTAGTGGTTTAGTTCCATTATTTTCCTGTTGTTAAATGTTCCTAACTAGTATGGCGTATATGAGTAACAGTCTAAGGCAATAGGTAGGTCACATGACAGGTTCTACCCTCATGGATTTCTCATCCGAAACTTGAATCATATGTATTGTAATTTTTTTCCTTAATATGGTAGTAGTGTTGTATAAAGTTTACCTAAAGTGAAAGTATTGTATTTTGCTGATTCTGGTTGTCTTTCAGTACAGCTGGAATGATTCGGAACATTTTCAGAAATCGTGTGATATACTTATTAGCTGTGAATTGATATTTGTATATTTTACAAGCTGGAGCTAGGGAATATATTTCAGTAGTTACTTGTAGTTACAGTTGAAGTAACTGTCAAATGTAGATCTTTGTTGATACGTTGATGTAGTTGTGCTATTTTGTAGTAGAAGATATTTGTAACTAAAACACAGTCCTGAGGGTAGAATTTGTTACTGGCCGACTCGCACACAGATCTGATGGAGAGAGATTTGACCTCACCACGGTTTGATCTTGTAACCCTGCGTCCAGACGTCTATGTATAAACAGTTATAATGTGCCTATTATTAAACAAGGGAACAACTTTGAATCGTGTTACATATAAATCCACATTTTGTAGCTTTTTTAGCCACAAAACATGTTGATGTTTTATTTATTAATTTTTTACTGCAAATCCCTGCAATTTTTAGGGGTTTATCAGTGTTATTTATAGAAGATGGTGATGATTTCGTATTGGAAAGAGAAAAGATTATGATGTCTACAGAATGGGTTTTTTCACGGAAGATTTATTATTATACTATTAAAGAAGAAAGGTTTATATAAGAAAAAAAGATCTTGTATTGTGCGAATGTTGAGATATTACTATTAATTTTTTGTAATAAAAAGTGAATCATGACTTGGTTGGAGAGTATTTCCTTTAGTGCTATGTGTAAGGGTTTTCATGCATGGAAGGGGATGTCTGATATTTCCCTTTGAATTTTGACAATTATCCAGGCTTTTTATGGTCAACTGTTAATTTTTTCAAGTTCATTAGCTCATGAATTCTTATGGCCAATGCCTACACAATGAGCCTTCTAATTAAACTAGCAAAATGTTCTTTATTTTTTCATCAAATTCATCAGCTGATGAAAACATTTAGACACACACACATTCCTCAAGGCACAGTAAAGCCTTTTGGACTTTATTTTAATATAATTATCAAAATATTAATGAAAATACATTTTGTCATTTTACACCGTGGCCTTATGGTTGCCCTCGTATATTACAGTAGAATTAACTATGTTTAATTACTGCAAACCACCTGCTTATTTCTCTGCTGTTTCTGTACTTAAAGACGTGCATATCTATACTGTTTCTGATTTTGTACTGACATTTTCTACTGCTGTACCTCCTCGTCCATCAATCATCTACCACCCTATACAAACATGCCTGTGCTAGGATCAACTTGATTTTGTTTTCTTTTCTGTACCACTGTTTTTCATCCTGTAGTGTGTCGTACATTAATGGTAGTCTATGTATAGCTCGGTACCACAATATGGACTGTGATTCCACAGAGCTCGGTACCACAATGTGGACTGTGATTCCACAGAGCTCGGTACCACAATATGGACTGTTATTCCACAGAGCTCGGTACCACAATGTGGACTGTGATTCCACAGAGCTCGGTACCACAATGTGGACTGTGATTCCACAGAGCTCGGTGCCACACCATGGACTGCGACTCCGCTGAGCTTAGCACTACACCATGGATGGTGACTCCATGGTTTTAACACTTGACTCAGTTTCACTGGGCAATATTTACTTACTATATACTTACTACACTGTACTCTATGTAACTGGACTGTGTTGTAGCTGTTTTCATTAATTTCAGTTTTTCTTCTTAAGAACTGGGCGTTCATATATCTAGTGTCTGGTACTGTAGATAGTGTTAATCAGTGATAGTAGGTGTCCCTGGTTTTACATCCCTATTCTCTTCATCAGTAAAAGTCAAGTGTTATACAGTTATTGGCTTTTTATGAGGTGAATAGGGGTTTTGGAACCTTTAGCAAATTTTTGACTTAAAATCAGAGTTGTAAATATTTTTGTTATTCAAAAACTGATTTTTTGCAAAATTTATTAAAATACACACTCTTTGTTGACTACATGTTAAACTGACCTGCTTCAGGGTCTGATCAAGAAGATATTTGAACAGAAAGTGGATGCTCAAAATATAATTGAACTTTCTGCAAGAGATGTGGCTAGCATTTCCCTTTAAACTAGCGTACAGTATATTTTCCTTGAAAAAAGTTTGTGTAGGATTTCCTTCGAGAGATTTTTGTGTACGATATATGGGCGCCCACCTATTTTCCTGGAACTAGAATTACAAGTATTTTCAACCTCTATATCTGTATAGCTATCTGTTGGTTGTGTAACGTTGTACATACTCTTTGTGCATTAAATTTCTAGATGTGGGACTCCTTGACTTCTCTCTTCTCTGTACCTTACTCATCATAGCTTGTATAACTCATCACACCCTCATACCTAATCACCACTGTTTTACAGTAACCGGCCATCCTCCAACCGGCTTTACAAATAGCTCCAAACCAATGGACAAGGGTATTGCATGCAATATATATGAATGATTTGGTGGCAATCCAAAGTCAGAAAAACTTGTCATCCTTTTTAGTGTACAGTGGAGCCTGTTTGATCAGGACACTTTGGTCTCATGAAATAAAATTAAAATAAGTTCCAACTCTGAATTTATAAAACATAAATTAATGAGTGTGATTGTGCCACAACATGTTCATTACATCACTGTTGTTCATGTTAAAGGGATTCCACTGTACACAAGAAACCAATTTTAACATCTTCAGCAAATATATCTGATTTTATCGTAAACCAAACTTTTATCACCAATTTATACCTGTTATCACAAATGATCATTCTAAATATATCTGAATTCTTTTTCTAATGCTGTAAAAATCAGAGGTCGCAGTAAAATCTTAGTTTGTCTGGCAATCTACATAGTGAATGGTTTACCTGATCTTGTGATACTGGTGTCTATTTCTACTGACATTTGACCTTACCCAAGGATCATCAGTCAAACTTCCATTCATTTCAAATTTCAATTACATAAATGTTTCTCAAGAAAATCATTCAAAAAAAGAATTAAGTGAAAAAAGGCCATATATGTGTACATGTAAAATCACATCTGGTATGAATCTTAAATTAGTGGATAATATTTAAATAAAACCCAACTGAAGTCCACATTTTCTCCTGGCCTGCTGGGGTCTAGCATACATTTTGTCCTCATTTAAAGGGTGTACGCAACCTAAGCCTACACAACAGCTGTATCTTATGTTAGAGTTAACTCCCTTGAAAGTCGCAATTGGTATTTTATCAATTTCTACCCAGAGTTGTCGTTCCTTTTCAAGGAAGTGCAAGGACCGTAACTCTGCGTGGAGATTGGTATTTTATATTGATTCATTCTCAAAGATACATTTTAAGTTTCTTACTATGGAACTCTTTGGAAGGGAGATACATTAACATCAAGATGAATGTAGCTTGTATCCTTAAGGATATTCCGTTCATTGTTAAAAAAAATAATTTACCTCTGCACTTTTTATCCAGCAAACTAATTCAAATTCCATGTATATTTTTTTCTTCAGTGTAGGAAATCAAAATTTGTTAACACTTCCCCATGGTATTACTAAAGTACTCTTTCAAGATGTGAGGATTTAATTTACTTCAATTTAAGAAAGAAAATCGTTTTAAAAAAGATTGATTTATGTGACCTTTGACTAAAATCGTTTTAAAAAAAGATGAATTTATGTGACCTTTGACTAACTAGATTTTGTAAACATTAAATTCGATAATGGTCTATTAAACTTTAAACTACCGGGGAATTCGGGGGGGGGGGGGGGGGGGGGGGGGGCAGCTACTTGGGATTTATAGAAAAGAAAATCTCTTCCTGGAAAGTGCTTTCATTTACAAATCATGAACAAGTAGGTAATTATATAAGTAAGCGAAGGTGATTACTACCTAGGTAAAACAGCAACACTTTCATTCTGATATCGTGAATATGGCTTTAAAAACCAAAGGTTGTATGCTGGAACTAGCTCACGGCTGTAACTGAACGGGAGAGGAGGAATATGAGGATGCGACTTTGCGGTTACATGTGTATATATTGATACAAGTGTTAGACACGTGTCGCACATGTTCTGCTTCACACGTTACAATTAGTACGAGTATGTGTACATCTGTGAGTGGCGTGCATACCTCTGCTACTGTACACAGCTACCAGCGGTTCTTGTCACCCGGCATCAGTTCCTACACCACCCTACACATTACATTGCTTCCATCTGGGCACCAACACTCGGATGTCGCGCTACAGTACTCTAGACCTCCACTAACAGCAATCATATTTCAATTCAATTTATTACCAAATGCACATTGCATATAGGCGTACAGAAATATACATATAGATAAATACTTTACAAATATCTTGTACAATGGCTGAGAACATGTGCATACATAATAACACGGAATTAGATTAGATTATCTAAGTCCGTGATAATAATTACAAATTCATAAAATAGTCATAATTTGGGAAAACTTTAAGGTTTCCCTAAGGTAACTTAGCGGACTCTTATGAAGCATAATTTAGTTGTTTATGAAATAATACAAATAAAGCCTTAATCTAACGCTCGTATATAATTACGTCTCTGTTGACGGGGATCTTGGCAAAACTGATACCTGACATGTTATAAGTCGGTCATATAAAACTTCAATTTTGTCCTCTTGGTTTAATGTTTTATTATTTTTAATCCTGCATGTGAAAGATAATTTTTAATTAAATCATAATTTCTGCGGATTATTTTTTTCAAACAGGACAGAATTGATACAATAATTTATAACCACACTTAGGCTAAAAAGTGTCGAAAAGGTTAAGTTTTGCATTGGAACCACAACTCTGGGTATAGATTGCGATTGAAACCTGATTGCCATTGAGGCGGTCTCCGTCCGTCAACTTTTCCTACATGTCTGAATATTTGGCCAGTAGATAACTCAGATGGAGTGCTGTAGCGTTTCTTAAAATGAAAAGCATTGACCTACTTTCAATGTCGGGGGTCAAAGTTTTTCTTTGTGACCTTCAAAGTTGGTCAATGTCATTTATTTAAACAAACTTGCTTTGAAGCCTACAGTAACTGAACAGAGAATCACCTAATATATATAAATAAAAGAATAGTGAGTCCCTCGGATGCTTTGAGGTGGAGCCCAGTATTGGACCAAATGTATAACGTTACGTTGATGAGATTGTTCTGTCATCATTGCTAATATACAGGTGAGCGGAACAGGTCCATTTGGCCTCTTCTAATTCTCTCAGTACTGATATTCGTACTACATGTTATCCGTCTGAAGTACTATTATTGAGCAGTGTTATGTGTTACAGTGTGGACTGAACGCTCACTATATGAAATGATTCTATTTACCTGTTCATGTACAGGTATGTTTTTAACTTCAGTATTGCCTGTGATTTGAATATTTTCTCCGTTGTAATAGTAATTTTAAAAGCTCGTCTTCGTATGGAAGGAAACGAGATAAAGTAAAGATCGAACTGTTATTAGTTGTGGCACCTTGGAGACACAGGCACTCGTCTCTACTTGTTTATAATCCGTATGGTGCCTCCACCTCCTCTCGGTGTTATCTTTTTCAAAGAGTCCTTTGGTAGAAAATTTTCAGAGCACACACCTCATCGACCCGGTACCTTGAAACTTAACCTCTGAAAGTGCTCTTTTTCTCTTGACATTTTATATACTATTGTAAATCATACACTCTAAACTTATATATAGCATGTGCCATTAAGCATATTAACGGAGCATGTAATTATACATAGTTTGAGATAGTTTATCAAACAGCCCCACATACATTATAAGTTTTGTTCTAGCCGGAGCTCGCTATCATCATCAGTACAGTACAAAGGTGTCGCGTCAAGACACGCTTAAAGTATTAACATAAACTATAAACCGTCATGTTTGAAAGTTATGTTCTTTACCTAAAGCGTACTGAATCGATCCTGATAGCGGACACCAACTTAGTGTATTTAAGTTATATAAGTGCCTGGACAGAGCTAGTTATTAAATCTTAAACAGCCATTTGACACATCAATTATTCAAGATGTCAAAAAATTCTGGTAGAAAAAAAACCCCGATAATTTGAGCTCGGTGATACCGGGCACCGTATAGAAAATAACCAGTAAAACAGAGGGCACAGAAAAAATAGCCCCGCTTTTGTAGGATCACAATATATTCATTCCATCCAACTCAATAGTTCTTAATTACCTGGAAAGCACCATCCAACCGGGAAAAACACATGTTTTCCTGTCCAACAGAAAACGGGATTGACCAGCTGGCTGAAAATCATTTTTGAATCAGTCTTAATTCAATACCATGTAAACTAAACTTAAACGCTTTTGACAGAAGCAAAGTTCGATCTATAGAAATGGCATGGAACTTTTTACTGAAAGCCAACAGATTTAGACCAAGACGTTTTTATGTAACCCAGCTATTAGAAATGGACGACAGCAATCTATCTAGTCTTTGTAGAGTCTTCGGCAAGGTATTTCGCATAATGCTATAACAGAAGGTTCACGAATGAATAACGAATCGAACTCAATGACGCTGCATCAAGTACAGTTTACTGAAAATTAACTATAATTGCATACTCAAGGGAAGTGTACCATGCATTAAAACGTGAATGACATATAAGAAGCTGTCGGGATTTTTACGAAACCTTTTCTGTGTATGACATAAAAACCTGTTCAAGTAAGTAAGTATCTGAGAACAGGATAGAACTCGGAATCAAAAAACAAGACGAGAATGTGCCTACAACCAGCACCAGACGTGTTACTTATATATAAAAAAAAGATAAAAACTTTACACGATTTCATTTCTAGTTTCCAAGGTCAAAGAGGTAAAATATGTAAAAACATTTTAACAACTTTTGCATTACCAGGAGGCCCTGGGTGATGATATATGCTGGGATAGAGTAGTATAAAGTTCCGTTTAGTATTCCGTCTTTGCGTATTGCAGAGTTATCTTCTCTTGGGAACAGGTATTGATTGTTACGTCACTTGTTTGTGAGAGTAACGTCATCAATTTTTGAGAAAATGACGTGATTTTCTCACACCAACCAATGACGTAACAATCAATACCTGCTCCCAAGAGAAGATACCTCTGCAATACGCAAAGACGGAATAGAACATTCCTATGCCAAGGAGACTTACTCAATGTATGGA